TCAGTTAACCCTTCCATGATAGATAGAAAAAAGTGAAGTGAAAGAGGAATCGGCCCACACAATTTAAAGAAACTAATAGTGCAGTTTCTTTATAAGGTTGTCTTACTTGCCTTTATTGGGGGCTTTGAAAGTATAGCAGCTTCTCAGTATGTTGTAAAGCAATAGTAGGTGTCAGTACTGTATTATCCACAGGCTAGTACAGTACAATAGCTGTGTTTGTGTAAAGAGCAGCACATATCAGCTGTGCCATGTAGCCTTTGTGTCATTACACAGCAGTAGAGTGCAGCTGAAGCTCTATGCACTTTTTACACTCTCTACATGCTGTAATAAAGATACAGTATCAGTGAACAATGTTATGTTCTGGGTAAATAAGAGAGATAAAATTGCTGGTTCTCTGCAGAGTTGATGCGTCGGTGCTGGTGGATAGGGTCATGTGTGAATGTGTAATTAGGTGTGTCAGTATGCTAACAGTGTGTGTTAGCATAGAAACCAATGTATGGAAGTTTAAGTCTGTCATACACTGTGTGATGCATGTAAGCGACTGCACAAATACAACTGGGAGATCATGCACCAGGACAACAATGTCTTTGAGAAAGAGTTTTATTTTTTCCATCACAACCAACTAATAGCTAATAGGATCAATACTTTAGCTCCAAGTAACAAACCAACTTTGTCATACAGTCTCTATGGGAGTTAATGCTCACTGCCAACCTTGTTTGCTGATGAAGTCTGCCCATGAAATTGGGTCACTTTTAAGGGTGTAGCCATTAACCCAGGATGCCTTGCATCATATCTTTACTGCCTTAATATCGACGTGTAGTAAACTACTGTACATGACACCACAGAGGCAGCACGGCTCATTGTTTGTTTTGTGAAATTTCAGGTGTTCCAGCTGTTTTCGTGGCAGTGTGGGCGATTGTCAGGGCAACACTAGCAGATGCAAGGTGAGAGGGCAAGTCTCACTGTGTCTATTTGCTGGTCCTCATTTACATTGAAAAAGTTACATGGCACCAAGATTTCAGTAAGAAACAGAAAGGTCAACATGTGTAAATGATTGCCTTGGAAATAAACAGCAAAACAAAAATAATAAGCTATAATTAGTGCTTAATTAATTCTGGTGACATTTGAATCACCACTGAAATCCAATTTAACCTGTTTTAACTGAATTAGCATTTTGGAAAAAATATGGTAATTCTGAAAAAATATTTCTCTGTGGATGTTTATTTAGAAGGTGACTGTGTACTGCTGTGTATTGTAAAGTATGTTGCCAGTTTAATTAATTTTTACAATTACCAAACAACCAAACAAAAAAAGGAGGGATCTGTGTATTTCATGGTATCACTGGCTGTTCACAGTGCATACACTTCTGAGTCACTACTGAGGAGCAATCTGTCACATCCAGTCAGTAAAATGATTTCCTGTTTATCAAACATTGCAGGATGAAAACCCCTTGTTAGTTTTGTGCAGTTCTGTGTATTTGGAAGAAGTTACACTAAAGAATCTGCCAATCTGGGATAACAACAAGGGCAAAACCAGTAGATGGCACAATTTATATGGGGGGAGAACAGCCAGAGTAAATGATTTTACTGTTTTCTTTTGTGTGTGTGTGTGTGTAAATATTTGTTGTATTCGTCTATTCAGTTTGTTGGTTGACTGAGTAAGATATTAGTTACTGTATTACTGTCAAAATCTTTATCTTTTTTCAATTTCAATTTTAAGAAGAAGGAAAATACTGAAAATCCCATAAATAAATACATGCACAGAAGGCAATAAGCAACAAATAGTTTATGTTCCCCTTCAAAACTTGTCACCATTTTCCAAGCCATATTATTTATTTGATGCACAGGATCATAAGCTTACTTAGTGTGTGTGTGTGTGTGTGTTCTCAATCTAACCCCTGCCACAGTGGTTTGTTTGAGAACAGTCTTTGCTCTGTAAACAAGGCCAGAGGCCTGTTTAAAAGAAATTGTGTGTTGCTGTTCTCCTGGCAGTACAGCAGCAGTCAGTTTATACTCAATGATCTGAGAAATAGCAAGTTTGTGTAGTTAATAACATGGTGCTAAAACATTTGACACTTAGGTGAATATGTGAACTAGCTAAAACACAAATACGGGGACAGCTACTAAACCTGTTGCAAGTTTCCATCCTCAAAATACTGCTGTACTGCAGTTTTTTTTATTTGGTGGCATACAGTCGCAAGAAAAGGTAATGGCACTGTTTGCACTTTCCTGGTTTTCTGCATAAATTTGTCATGAAATGTGACAACATGCCTGAAGTTTGCCAAAGGCCACCTTGACACTCCACAACGCTACTGGGAAAATGTCCTGTGGACAGATGGAACTAAGGTAGAATTGTTTGGGAGGAACACACAGAACCATGTACCAACATGAAAACAGTGAAGTACGGTGGAGGGAGCATCATGATTTGGAGTTACTTTGCTGCCTCTGGATCTGGACCACTTGCCATTGTGGAGGGAAAAAAAAAATTCTCCAGTTTATCAAGGTATCCTATGGGATAATGTTGGGGTGGCTATCTGTAAGCTGAAGATCAGAACAAGCTGGATGATGCAGCAGGATAATAACCCTAAACATAGAAGTAAAACTACTACCGAATGGCTTCAGAGACATAAAATCCACCTTGTGGAGGGTCCCATTCAGAGCCAGACCTCAACCCAATTCACACTGTATATATTTGCATATCTGGTGCCATCGGACTTCACCTCTCTCTCTCTCTCTCTGCATCTCCAATAATGTATGTCTTCTGAGCATCACCACCCACCTTCTGCTTTGCTCTGTTTCTTATTTCCCTGCTTGTCTAAAGTCATCCTCTCCTCTTCTCTGTAATTGTGTCATTGCAGATGTTGGGAGTTGAGTGCTGGTAACATTAAGTGGATCTACCAGGTTCCCATCCTGACAGCCATAGGGGTAAGCGTGTGGAAAGTTTACTATTGGTTATCACTAAGTGTGAAAGTGACTTGAAAAGTTGCTAAGACATTTGCTAAGGAAACTTACTGATGACTGAAGTGAGAATTTATAGTGAGAAAAACAAGGTTTTAACAGTTGTGACTGGGGTGCAGGGTAACATGGAAACACAGGCACAAAGACTGGCTTGGGTGAGCATATAATGACAGGACCTGGAATACAAGTAAACAACTCTGCAGATGTATGGCTGGTTCATAAAAACACATCAAAGTGAGGTGACTGACTCAGGAAAACATCACTTTACTCGACACCCCCCATCCTTCTCACAGATAAATGTTATTTGTACTAGGGAAGTTGCTAATTGGTGCATTTTTTGGTATTTGAAGTTTCCTTTGAGAATTAAAAATATATAATAAAAAGGTCACAACCACATTCTCACTCTGCCAGAACAAATCACACACACCAAAAAAGAGAAAGCACTGAAATAATTCCTTCATGGTTAAAAATATTTATACAGTGTTTGAAAAACTGGCTTTCACTGCAAAAAGGACAGGAGTGTGAACATCAGACTTGTTTTTTCCCCACATATCAGCACCAACTTTGGTCCATAAACCGTACAGACAGCATACATCAGTTTGCATGTGTTTAGTGCACACACAAGCCAAACTCAATTCACAACAAACCTTTCAGGTATGCTGAGTTTTTACAATAGCAATAGTGTGAATGCTGCTGAATCAGCATTCACACTATTGTTATTCAAATCTTTATGCTTTTTTTTTTTTTACACATTTTTGCCTGTTTTCTGCTTTTATCCTGCCAAACCTAAGCTTTCACACACAAATTATATACAGATATCTTCATATAAAGGGGATCAGCATGTTTGTTGAAGCCTCCTGCCAAGTCAGAGTCAAAACATTCTTTGATAGGACTCAAATTTCTTTTCAACTTCCACAATTGTTCAACATTCTTTTCAGCCTTCAGCTGTTTCAGCAGTGCATTTAAGCTATTTCAGTATCGCTAGGGCAATTCTTCAGCAATTAGCATTCACATGCACTTTCACCAGCAAACACAGTACCTTTGTCTAGTTTGTTTTGTCTTTCCTCTTTCTCTTAGTGTTGGGAGTTAATGTACAACAAAAAAGTGATTGTGGCTGATGGGATTTGTATCTTATCCAATACTAAATGAAAAAGGAAAATAAATAAATGCATTAATTTATTTTATTCACAGTGTAACCCTTTTGCCACCCGGCTCGTTATAGTAAGGGAATAGCTACTTAGTGCATACCCCTCTAAACTCAAAAAAACAAATTGGCAAAAGAGACATTCCAATGTAAGAAACTTTGTCTAGGGTTCAGTATGATCCTCACCTTTAAAACATCAATTGGAGATTTCCCAGAAATGATATTACTTCAAATAACTCAGAATACGTATGTACTTTGTTACTTGTAACTTATGGACAATTTTTCCAGGGACTGTTTCACAGTGTAGAAACAATAAACACACACTAAACACAGTTCAAGGTTGTGTATTAATTAAACAAACATATACCACAAATTTGCCCAGTTCAAACATGAAATAATATTTTAAACCCTTGAAATGATGTTTTAACCACAAAATCAACCTGAGTGCACTCTT